GCAAAAGTGAAATTGACAGGCTTTGGTAACCATTGATTAATGGTGTCAAAAACTGCAGAAAAATCAAAAAGAATGCAGATTGAGAAAAGGTCATTAGATTTGGCTACTAAGAAATCACTGGTGACTTTGAAGGGAGCAGTTCTAGTGGAACAATAAGACCAGAAGCTACATTGTAAGGGGTTAAGAAGAGAGTGAGAGGAGACAGAGCAGAGGCACCTAGTGCAGATGGCCTTTTAGTTACTGCCCACAAAAGGCAGGGGAGAGATGGAGCAACAGTTAACCAGGATGGAAAGATCAAATGATGATTTTTTTTTTCACGATGGGATCGACATACACACATTTGTAAGCAGTAAGGAATGAGCCAGTAGACAGGAAGAGATTGAAAATGAGTGCCTCAGAGTGACAGAAAGGGAAATCTGTTAGAAGAGAAGAGAAGGAATTGGATCACTTGAGCAGATATAGGGGTTAGCCTTGGTAAGGAGTAAGGCCATTTCATGTGAGACAGAGGAGGAGGAAATTGTGACAGAAGGCATCTGAGAGATGTGAGATGAGGAAGAGGGAAGAAGAGGGGCCTCACAGTAAATTACCTCAATTTTTTCTATAAAATATGAGGCAAGGTTCTTAGCTGAGAGGGTTTATACCTCTGCAATCCTTCCAAGAATAACTAGGACTTCAGGTATTAGCCTAACTCCTAAAGCATACTTCATAAGAGCACTATGGCCCTAACTACTTGCTCCCCTGCCACTATGAATGCCTCAATTCCAACATCCCCACCAAGTCTCAGTTAGAATGTCCTAACCTCAGACCAAACTCCATCAGTGTCCAACTCTGGTTGAACCCCACCCTCTCCCCCTTACTCTCACTCATTCATGGTCAGAATAGCAACCATCACAGCTCCTACTATTATCTGGGACATGTGGTATTAAGTCTAGCTTGGATGCAGAAGTGGGCTAGAAAAAAAGAAAAATGACTGTTGAACCACCCCATCACTTCTTCTAGCAAAGCCCTACCTGCCCTAGACCAGTCACAGAAAATAGTACCTATGCTTTGAAAGAATAAAAAACATTTATCAACAATGAGGCTTTCTTATTCTTCTTATACTCTAGCTGCTTCATTCAAATTCATTCTCAAAACCCATTTCACTCATTAAGTCTTTCTTTAAGTATGACTTTGATAGCTTTGACATAAATGGAATGCCTGATGTCAACTACCTCAAGCAGTTAAGCTTTACAAATACTATCTCATTTGATCCTCACAACAACCTATGAGGTAGGTGTTGTTATTATCCCCTTTATACGGTTGAGGAAACTGACACAGACAGAGGATGAGTGATGGCCCAAGGTCACACTGCCAGTAAGTGTCTGAGCTCACATTTGAACTCAGGTTTTCCTGACTCAGGGTGCAACACACTATTCACCTAGCTATGCTAGTTCAGTGCAAGTAGAAGTTATAAATAAAGCACAAGGCATTTTCTCATTCCCCTGGTTGTTAGTGCTCTCCCCAAAACCTACCCCCAAATTACTTGGTATTTACTTTTCTGTGTACTACTTCTTTCTCCTAATAGACTGCAAACTCCTTGAGGATAGAGAAACTTTTATTTTTGTCTTTGTATCCTCCAACACCTAACACAATGCATAAAATGCTTTGGCACATCATAGGCACTTAATAAGAATTTATTGAATTCAACTTGAGGTCATCTGTTCTAAGTTTTTGTTTTGTTTTTTCTACCAATGCATGTTGGCAACTATTCTGAAATGTGTAGTCTTAGAGTTGCCTGAGATACTGAAAAGTGACTAGCCAGAGCCAGTAAGTGTCAGAAATAAGATTTGAACCCAGGTCTTATCTTGTCTCAGAGGACAGGTATTATGGCACACTGGCTCTTAAAAGACTTCTTACATCTCATTTTCTCCACAAGGTGCCTAACTCCTCATTTTTTCCTCTTTTTCATCAAATTCTACTACCTTTAATTAGTTGCATGTCTTAAGCTCTTTCCCACTGTCTTACACTTCAGAAATCTGATTCCTGGTCATCTCCTTCCAATTCTATTCACTTAGTTAACATGACAGCAGCAAAAATAGTTATGAGGAAAAGGTATCATCATTCACTTGCAGGCAAAATTTTATCCAGTTTAAGTGCATTCAAGCATTAGCCCTCAGGGGTATCTTATTGTTTTATTCATAAAAGAATGCTTGGTGATGATGCAAGATTCATACTACTACAGGACTGCATTGGGCTATGTCTTCCCATAAAATCTGTATAATACTAAAAGCAAACAATGTATAGAAAGACCATCTAGATTTAGCAAATGTTACATTTGTGATTTTTGCAAAGAAAGGCCAAAATTGATTTCAACCAAATATTTTCATCTAGACTTTGTGTAGCAACTGAAAAGAACATTTTTTTCTGTTGCTGCAATTCAGAATCACAAAATGTCAATGTTTTTCACAGAGAATCTTCAAAACATAGGGAGCCCATAGAAATATCAGCTGATATCTCTTCCCATATATCTTTTTTTTGCACATACAAGACTTCTTATAAAGAGGAGCCCATTCAGAGGTCACCTTGTCTTAGCACCATAACCCTCTCCATTCCCTAGAGCAGAGATTTTTAACCTGTGACTCATGCAGCCCCAAAGGATCACTAGAGAAATGTGGGGTGATCTGTAAACTTGGGTGGGAAAAAATACATCTTTATTTTCACTAACCTCTAACTGAAATTTAGAATTTCCTTCAATTATTTCAAAATATTATTCTGACAAAAAAAATTATTCTGAGAAACAGTCTATAGATATCATCAGACAACCAGTCCTTGACTCAAAAAAAGATTAAGAACCTTTGCTCTAGCTGTTTTTTTTTATTTTTCATCAGATTGGGTGTGAAATATCCCGCAAAGACACTTGAAAATTGGCAGCCACAATCTTTAGTGTAGTGTAGAGTTTGAGATGTTCACTTTGGATCTTGGAGACAAACGAATTCTTCAGGAAAGAGAAAATTGAAAATAGAGGTGTGGTAAGGGAAGCAAGTTGCCATATAGCAGTGGTTCCCAAACCTGAACCAAAACTCAAATTAAACACACTGAGGGTCTAGGTCTACAAAAGGCTCAAGAAGGAGCTTCTGAAAAGTATCAAAGAGGGAGCTGGGATGTTCCCTTGTCCATAGGTATAGCCAGTGGGAGCCCTCTCTCAACGCCATCCATTTCCTTCTCTTCTCCATCCAGGTAGCAAAATCCGAGTCTAAGAGATTAGTCATGGTGGCACCTGGCCTTCTGAAAAGTCTCCTAAGTTAGCCTCTAAAGTTTTCCCTAGGGTCAAAGCCTTGAGAGGATAAAACTGAGAGTAATTGATAAAAAAGAAATGGTTTGATGAAAAGAAGAGTGAATTTGAAATCAGGATATCTTAGTTCAAATTATGAGTTCTGCCAATTACAAGCTATATAATTTTAGGCAAGTCATTGTTACCCTAAATGGCTTACTTCTCAGTTTCTTCATCTATGAACTTAGAGGGTTAAACTAGATGATCTCTAGGGTCCCTTGAACTCATAGGGAATAGGAACTGATTTTCCATCTTGTCTTAGACACTTTGTGACCATTGGTAAGTTACATAACATCCTCTCAGCCTCAGTTTCCTCATCTGTATGTACATAAAGTGGTTAGCTAACCTTATATCTCTAACATGTAACATAAAAATTCTAACATGCAAATGTTAGCTCTCATGATTATTATTATTTCTCAAATTACAGAGAGGCTGATTTAAGCTCAAAAACTGTAGAAATGGTGGAAAAACTTGATAATGATTAGAGCTGTCTAAAAGTGGAATGGGCTTCCTCAAGGGATGTGTGTTTTCCATAACCGGAGATCTTCACACAGACAGATGACTACTTATTAAAGATGTTATCAAAGGGATTCCTGTTCAGGTATGGGGTTGAAAGTCTGTGGTTCTGTGAATGGCCACAGCTGGTTCTGTGGACTTAAGAATGGTAAGCTCTTCTGTAGATTCAGATAAGATTCTGTTAAAAATACTAGCCACCACAATGAAACTTTTAAGTACCATGACCTAGCACCCAGGATTTGCTAAGCCACATACCAAAGTATAAACTATTGGCCTTCTGACTATGCCAGAGCTCAAATACCCACACTTCATAAGTTTAGCCTAACATTGACAATTAGCTTCATGGAGGAGATGGTGCCTGGGCTAGGTCTTAGAATATGACCATGCACATTTCCACATTGTATATTTTCAGAACATTCTTCTTCTTCATAAAATATCTATAGTGTAATTTAAATTCTATTAATTTCTTCTTCTGTTGCCATCTCCTGGTGCAAAGGTGACCCTGGACCTTCAAAGACTTTAGAGTGAGCACAAGCTTTGGAAGGTCCTAATGTGCTAGAAAAGCTTTAAGTGTATGTGTGGCTATAGACTATATATCTGCTGTGCAAAGATTAGCCTAGCTAAGTACGGGGAGGTTCATTGACTGAAGAATTATTTTGGCCAGAGCAACTCATAAAACCATGTACATATGTTAAGACACTAAAGAGTTTGCAATTTCATCAGTAGAAGGAGTACCCACACAAGGAAATCAGGGATCTTTGATATCTTAAAGTATGACTTAGCTGACTGTAACATATTTGTTTCTCACTCTGTAACCCTTTAATCAGCACAGCCTTGACCATGAAAATCTATTCCTCTCTGACCAGGCAGTGTTCCTCAAGGTCATATTAGATGGAACTAGGAAAACTATAATGACGGGAGCCCATTTTGATGGATAAGGATGAACATAGAGTAGATTTCAGCCTACTGAGTCTTAGAATGGCTAAACTGGTAACTTGTTCTGAGTCTCTAATGTTGATAACAACAAAAAGTTGGCTATTTGTCCATTTGCTTAACCAAAATGTTTAGTGATTTTCCTGAAGTAGCCAGATAGATTTGAGATAGTTAGATAATGACAATGATGATTATAATGATGATAGTGATAACTATTTCTAAGAATTTTTTTAATACTTACTTTTCTCTTTCTTCTTGGGATCTTTTCAAATTCAGCATACCTTCTAAAACACAAAATATGTGTCAAATGGAAGTTCAGAATATCTTAAATATATCTTTTATAAGAGTCCTCACAAAAGCATCTCCCTGGAACATTAACTTGACAGACACAATTAAAACTAAATGGTGAAAGAAAAACTCAATGGGGCTGGTGTTTCAATGGTTTTGACCATCAGACCAGGAGAGGAGGACATAATAACATGGAAAGCAAATATGCTTGACCACCATACTCAGTTTTTGCAGGAAGCATCATTGAGGGCAGTGAGACAAAAAGAGCTTAACTGTGGCATAAAGGATTTAGGATGGAAATCATGAAGTCATTACTTACAGAAACTGATAGTCTGAGGAAGCTGCTGAGGCAGTCTATGAAACCATCTCTCTAGAGATTTGTCCAAATAGGATGGATCCTCATGACCAGAGGCTTTCTCATTTATAAAATGAGGGAATTGGACTAAATAATCTCTAATGCCCTTACCAGTTCCAAATCCTATTTAATAAAAACATTTTTTTATGTATTATCTAGCCTAAAGATAGGGATATGGCTATCTCAAGATCTCTTCCAATTCTAAAGTTCTCTCATTTTCCCTCATTAAAGTCCCACAAACACATTCTATAGCTGGGAAAGGTGCAAAGATGATCATCTTACACTATATATAAGGCTCCTTTGTCTATAATCACAGAAAATTTAGCTATAAATTTTCCAAAATGAAAAAATATATATACTATACCAGATTATAGAACTATAGACTTAGTTCTGGAATGGACTTCAGAAGCCATCCAATCCAATGCCTTCATTTTAATGATTAGATAATTAAGGCATTTCAATAATTCTTGTATGTTACATGTGAAACACTTTCTGCCATGCGATAGCCAGCTAGAACAGTAATTCTTTTGTCCTTTTTTTCCCTTGAATGTTAAATGTATCTTAATCTCTTAGTTACAGTGTTTAGCCACAAAAAGTCATCTCAACTTATGTCCACAGCTGTATTGTCTCCTTTGGAGTGTAAGCTTTGTAAGGCTAGAGGTCTTGACTTTTTATTCATGCCTTCACTCAATGATCATTTACTAAGTACTCATTATGTGCAAAACACTCTGCTAGGGACAAGAGAAACTACAAAAATAATTAAGATAAGACTGAGTCCTATGCTCATGTGGTTTACAATCCAGTAAGGGAGGTAAGGATTTGACACATATATAAATATGTAGTAACTATATGAATGCCATCTATATAATCTTAGTCAATACTAGAATATGCTCAGTAGTCTAAGATTTGTACTGTACTGAACCCTGTGCCATACTTTTAGGATGTATTAAGTATATTCATATGATAGAGATAATTTTGTTCACTTTACCTCAAGGTTGAATTGGATTTCCAGTGACCGACATTTATAGTCTTCCCCATGGATTTAAGAGTCAAATATGGTTGTCTCTTTGTATTATAGCTTGTCAGATGTATATGTGTATGTATAATATCTTACAATGTAAGATATGTATATACATATTTTATATATGATGTGTAACATATATAACATGATGTTATACATGCCATGTGTATTATACATATTATATAATTTACATAAGTATATGTACATCATATCTTCTAGATGCATGTGTGTATATACATATGCATCTGACAAACTATACATACAAGTGTGATTGTCTCTTTGAAGTATAGCTTGTCAGATATATGTGTGTGCATAGACATAGAGACATTTAAAAGATGTATATGTATATATACAAAAGATGCATATGTATATATTTACACATATACATCTGACAAGCTATTCTGCAAAGAGACAATCACATTTGTATGTATACTTTTCAGATGAATATATATATATGTACACATATATACACACATAAGTATGCACACACATATACCAAGTATATAAAGTAGTATTACTTACATTGTACAAAACGTTTTAAGATAATATGGAAGGTGAGTACTCCTAAATGCTTCCATCCTTGGCAGTCACTTTTCTACCAAAGTATGTGTGCTTAGAATCCAATTGTTTCCTCATCAAAACTTTATGTTTATCTGATCAATTCAATGTGAAAAGTATTTATTCAGCACCTCCTATATGCAGTGCATCATGCTGGGCAGGCTGGGTACAAAGCAAAAATTAAATAGTCCCTACCCTATAGGGACAGGGAACATTAACACAGAAAAGTAAATACAAAATAATTTCAAGAGGTGGAGAAAGTAATAAGAACTCAGGAAAGGCCTCATGTCAGAAGTAGCACCTGGGCTGAGTACTGAAGGAAGCTACAGATGATGGCTAAGGGGCAGCAGTGAGAGTGGAATACCTTCACCTAGGCATGAGGAACTGGACAGAGTAATGGAATGTGTGTCTGTGTGTCTGTGTGTCTGTGTGTCTGTGTGTGTGTGTGTGTGAATGTGTGTGTGTGTATTCTAATATGTGTGTGTATTATCTAATCCTCACAATAATAGGTAGGTCACATTATTTTCATTTGTTTTTTTTACAGACACTGAAACTCAGGGAGGAGATTATATCTGGACAAAGGTTATATAGGTATTATCAAAGCTGAGATTAGCACCTGCACTATTTAAATCCTATCCTAAGGGTCAGTTAACTATTCCACCTCATCACTTGGAGAAATCTGTCATAGTCATAAATTTAGAGTTGGAAGGAACCTTAAAGTCCATTAAGTCCAGCCCCCTTATTTTACAAATAAGGAAAGTGAGCCGCAGCCAAGTTAAGTGACTTGCCCAAGATCACTCAGATAATAAATGTATGAGCCAGGACTTGATGGAGGCTTCAGACTCCAAATCTGGTGTTCTGCCACACAAGTAAAGAAGGGTAGATGCAAGCTCAATGTAGAGCAACCAAAAAGAACAAGATAAGTTTTCTCTAGCAGTCAACCAGCATCTACCAAGTGCCTGCTGGGTTAAACATTGTATTAAGTGATATAAATGTAAAGAAAGGTAAAAGGCAGTCCCTCCTCATAAGAAGCTCACATTCTAGCAAAGAAGTGGAAAAGGAAGGGAGAAGCGTACATAGAGAAAGGACCATTCGACTTAATTCTACTGCCTCAGATAATCCTGTAGGGACAGGATTGGCACAACACTATCCTATGACAGAAGACATAGTCAGTGATCAATTAGTCAAGGCAATCAGCAGTTGACAAGACATATCTGAGCTTGTCAGGCAGGCTGGCAAGGGCCCCAACCACCTGGATGGAAATCAAATTGCCAGAGGACTAACCATCAGGAGACACAGCACCAGGCTGTCTTAAAGAGATTTTATTGCAAAAATATTACCTGGCCTAAAGTAGATAACATAAAATAGCATAGGCCAACATGAGGACAGAATCTCCCATGGAGAAACCAACCCTGGACACTGTGCCTACAGTGATATTTCACATTTTCTAAATGTACTTTCCACCCCAGAGAAGGCCCTTCCTGAGCACAACTGAGCTAAATAAATATATAAGCCAATCACCCACACACACTGACTATACTACAAATAGGCTGACCAACCTAAAATCATCCATCCATTGCCACAATCAGATGGGAAATGGCAGATATTTTTCTTTCTTTGATAGAATGACCATTAAGAAACTTGACAGAAAAAATAGCCATAGGAAAAGTCTCCTGCAAACCCACTAATGCTTCCACTATATTTCAAACACACCAATCAAGGCCAAGCAATCTGCAGCCCACAATTCCACAGAGAGACTTTACAGGAACTGCTTAACTCAGCAGAGCCTGAAAGACATGAAAACCCATCACAGGGTGAGAATGGGGAGTCAAGGCCTATTTGTTCTAAATTACATGAGATACAGGCGAAAACAAGGAACCCTCGGGCTTGGCCTCACTGGCCAATATGAGGCAGAGAGCTTGGAAGTGATCCAAGGATGCTGGTATGACTAAATTGCAAGATAGAGTCATAAAGGCACAGCAGTGGGGAAGAAGGGAGAGTATTGGCTTTTATATCAGGAGGCCTATATTCAAGTGTTGGCTCTGTTGTTACACTTTGATACATCTCTGGTCATCTCTATGCAGGTACTACCTTCAACAATTCTGTTCACAACACATTCTGACTCTTGTCCATGTCCTCCCCCAAATCCTGTAGAAGGTATCAAACCAACAATGTGCTGGAGGCTTTCCTCTTGTCATTTCATGGATACCAGTGGTATCCCAACACTTATCACAATGCCTGGCACATAGTAAGTTGCTTAAAAAATGTGTATTGACTGACTGACTGACGACCGATGGTGCATGGAGCTGTCCAGTGTTTACCCCTTGTTCTTAGAAATAGAAAAGTCACCTTCTCTCTCTAGATCTTAGTTCCTTTATTTATAAAATGGAGAAAATATCTTCCTATAAGCCAATTTATAAGATTGCTGTGAGGAAAATACTTTGTAAAGTTTCATGCGATTTCTTTAACAAGACCCGTGGTTTTGTTGATGGAAGGAAATTCCCTTTGCCAAAGCAGATCAGCACTTGCTGTGCCACTGAAGAATTTGAGAGATGCCTGGGGCATTATGACATAATGTCACCTGCCTAAAGTCACAAACCAATCAAGACCTTGAACTAGATTTTCCTCTGAGGCTGGCTTCTCTATTCACTATCTGTCTGATTTGCCTCTCAAGAATAAAAATCCCACCTTTCCAACGTAGGTAAAATGTTCAAAGACTCTAAAGACAGATCTCCTTTTCATTATGCAAAGATATTGTTCCATTAAAATCCTACTCCAGCATCTCAATGAGAGTTAAATTGGGTTTCTTCAAGACTCTACTAGCAAAAATAGAGGATATTCCAAAAGTAGACTATACCCCTGAAGTAAGGACTCTTGAAAAGGAAAAAAGCATATACAATTAGTCCCAATTAGTATAAATAATAATTGATCTGAATGAGTTCTATTATTTGAATTCTTACTGTATAGTTCCATATGTATGAAAACAACTACCATGTTACAAATTTTTAACTTCAGATAATGCTGATTCAAGTACATGCAACCACTGTGGAAGATTCATTATT